AATGCAAGCTGCTAATAATAGGACTACTATCACTGCAACTTTTGTGCAATCTTAAAACTACTCTCAAAAATACAGATTATTACTTTTTTAATCTTCACCTGCGGATATTTTTTTCATTGCTTTTTCAGAGAGTAGAAGGGAGGGTGGGAGAGGGAGAGAGAGAGAGAAGCATCAATGTGAGAGAGACACCAACTGAATGTGCCCTAACGGAACTGAGCCCCTTCCATTTGCGGGCCAACACGACACTCTAACCATTGATTAACCCAGCCAGGGCTAGACTATTACTTCTTTGAAATGATAAAATAAAAGCTAGAAGAAGAAGCAGACTCACACAGTGTGACGTGATAAAGGAAGGACAGCCACCTGGGGAAGGTACGTATGAGTTACATGTCTGTACAGTAATTTTTCCTTTGCCCGCCTGTCCTGGCTGAAGACACCTCTTGTTTTCTTTGCCACAGTGCTGTCGCTTTACTGTGGGCAAGGACTGCCTTGGCAGTTACAGTCACCACGATGTTTTATCAGCTCTCAGCCTCCTGTTCTGAGGAGCAGCAGCTCCGTTTCCAAACCTCAGACAGTGACCAGGAAGCTGAGTCAGGACTGCAGATGGGGGCTCCTCCAGCTGGTGGAGTGGAGCTAGACAAACGGGGCGGGGCGGGGCGGGGGGGGGGGTCCTCCTCTGCTCCCATGTCAGCCAGGAAGCGCTGCTAAGGCCGCCCTCACTGCCTTTTGCAGAGGAAGTGGGAGGGTGGGTGGCAGCTCCGCCTCGCCCCCCTTCCTGACATCTCCACGGGGGAGGAAGGTCTCGTGCCCACTCTCTTGGTGTCCTGGGTCTCTGAGTGAGATCCTTGCCGGCAGGTGCATGAAACACCCTTAGGCTGGAAGCGGGTGTGGACGGCCTTAGCCTGAAGGGAGCCAGGAGGGTCTGCACCTCAGCCGCTTGAGTCCACAGTGATAACAAGATTCAAACGTCACCACAAGGTGTCACCACAGAACAGCTTTTGTGATGGGAACATCCAAACTAGGTTCTCTGAAAAGGGAAAAAGAATTCTTTCCCCTTTTTAAGGCACTCAGCTCAGTCCTGTCAGGGCCTCTCTGCTGTGTGCTGCGCAGGCGACTGGGGCTTGATGTTGATTTGAAAATACTGGTGAACTCTAATCTTTTTATTTGTACATGTAAAATGACTCACAAAATAAAAATAACTTATCTTAAAACAAACCACCTTAACAAAATGTTCCCATGCATGGGGGGGGTGGGGGGGGGAACGGGGAGGTGAGGGGGTCCACCTGGCTAGGCCATGGTGCCCAGGTGGTTGGTCAAACATCAGTCTAGATGTTGCTGTGAAGGCTTTTTTTGATGTTTTTGTGTGTTTTTCACATGTGATTAACATGTAAATCAGTAAACTTTAAGAACAGCAGTCTTCTCCATCATGTGGGTGGGCCTCGTCCAAGCAGTTGAGGCCCTAAATCGAAGACGGAGATCCCCAGAGAGGAATGAGTTCAGCCCCCAGACAGCCTCTAGGGGGGAAGCAACAGCATTAACGCCTCCTGGGCCTCCAGCCTTCTGGCCTGGCCTGCAGAGTTCAGACTCAGCCCCAGCAATCGCATGAGCCAATTCGTTAAATCTATTATATATCTAATCGGTCTCCTATTGGTTCCATTTTCTTGGAGAAACCTGACTAATGCAGGGTCCTTACAAAGAAGTGGCACCAGACCCGGGTCCAGAGGTCTGTCTACAGGACACCGCACTTATTAGGATGTAGTCCCAAGGTTAAGGGTCCCCTCCCCTTCGCCAGACCCCAGCCACTCTTCGCTGTCTCTTGTGGCTGAGGAGAGGGAAGAGCGTGAGTGGGACCAGTTTGGGAAGATGGACTCCAGAACTTCCGACTAAAGCTGTTGGTGGCAGATGTCACTTGGGAGGTGGCGGTAGCAGATGCAGGTGCTCTGCGGGTGCCAGGTGGGCGGCAGCAAGACTGTGGGTGCTTACAGGAGGCCTGCGTGGCAGCTGTGAGCAGACATCAGGTGGCTGCCACCCGCCAGGGGCAGAGCTCAGAACCAGGAGTGGCAGCTGGTACAGATGGGAAGGGGGGCGGGTTCAAGGGTGTCCTCAGGGTGAGTGAGCTGGGGTCTAGGCTCCCCCTCCTTCAGCAACATGTACTGGGGCCCCTTTATAGAGAGGCTGGAAGTGACCTGCAGAAGGTTCTTGGGTGGGACATGGGCCAGATCCAGCCTAGAGCCGTCACCTGTGCTTCTGCATCGGAAGCCAGAGCCCCCATGAGGGACCTCGCCCAGCACTCCTGACCCATCGCTGCACCACCCCTCAGTCCTGCGGCTGCCTATGGGCCTGCCTGAGCCTCCATTGGCTGGGGGGCCAGAGGAGCTCTAGGGGATGTGCCTTTGCCTCAAGGAGTCCTGAGGGTCTCTAAGCAGAGCCACCTACCTGGGGATGGTCGGAACATCCTGGCAGGCGATGGCATCTACCTGGGCCAACTCTTCCAAGAAGGGGGCAACCCTGTACCTCCACTCCCTGCTCCCCCACTCCCCAGCGAACTCTCAGCCTGCAGAGTGGACACTTCACAATCAGTCTGGCTCACATCCAAGCATCTGTGTGGCGATGAGCAAGGGCATAGTCCAGGCCACAGGCACCCCTGTCCCCAGTGGGGCTTCAGCAAAGCGGACACCAGGACACAGGCTCCACACGCCTCCTTGCTTGTGATGTGCCCTCTGTCCTACAGCAGCAGCTGGCACCTCTACACACCAACATGCCCTGGACTGTTTGCTCAGACAGGGTTTGAAAATGAAACCCTGGATTTCTAAAGTATTTCCTGTGTTCACATGGTAAACGGGAGCTCCAGGTCACCTTGCAGGGCCACATTCCCAAGGAGGTCAAAGTGTGCCCCTAACCTAGTCTAACCCTGGGGAGCTAACGCCCCCCTGCACAGGAGCATGAGACAGTGAGGTGCTCCTGCAAGGCCAGGGACTTAAGCCAAAAAAAGGGAATCTGTTGCTCTGTTGCCTCATATAACTGGGAATTGCAAGGGTATATAGCCTTCAGGTATGGCTGGATCCAGGAGCTCTGAGAAGATCCTTAGAGAGCTCTCTCCTTCCTCCTCCCACCTCCACTTCTCTCCCCACTTCTCAGCCCTGCCTCCCTTGAGAGGTCCAAACTCTCTCCTGCTGCAGGCTTTCTCCTTGTGGCCAGGAGAGATGGCCCGAGGCAGCCACACCACCCCCCAACTACAACCTCAGCAGGAAGACTGCTCCCTAAGCCTACAAGAAAACACTGGTTTGCACATGCCTGTCGTGTGGGCAGGGCAGGGTGCAGTGCCTTAGACCTTCTAGAACCACACCTCGGGAAGTTGCGGGTTCCCTGGGTGGCAGCAGGAAGAGGCCTGAGATGAAAGTCCACACCCCACCCCCACTCCCCCGGAAGGTGAGCAAGGGCTGCCCCACAAAGGTAACGGGCGCAGGCACAGAGGCAGCGTGCACACGCCATCACAGTCAGAGGGGCTTTTATTAGGAAATCAGCCGCCAGCACGCCGAGAGCGCTGTGCTGTGGTTCCACACATTTCCTGAGGAAGGAGGGTCACAGTATGAGCTCAGAGGAGCTGGGCCAGTGGGCAGGCGACTGCTCAGCGCCTCGGCCAGCACCCCTAGTGACAGGACTCGCCATCACGATCCGCACACGGACGCCACACGACACACAGCTGCGCTACACACACATCAACAATAAACACAGAGCTGCTGCTGGGCCTGAAACAAAAGGAACCGAAAGGGATAAAGAGAACCAAGCCTTTCTCTCCATTGGACAAGGGAGGGCCATCCCCCAAATCATCAAACTTCCTCAGTTACAAAATACTTTTTGAAAATTCCATTATTAAAAGAATAAATAACAAAATATATTAAAAATAACTTGATTGCATCAAAATTATAACTAGAAGTTATAGCAAGATTTTTTGTATGTGTGGCCTACCTCATAGTCAAATTGTTAATTTCACTTTGATTTCTTTTATTTCTCTCTCGTGGTATCCTGTATGTGGGGGGGCTACTTCAAACAGTATAAAATTAATAAATAAAAATGTCAAATAAATAGCAAACGTTAACATAAAAGAGGTTGTGAATATAAATACTTACATCTTGACAAAATTAAATAATTTACAGAATAATTAAACTAACTACTTTTTTAATTTCTTCCAGAAAGAGCAATTTCTCTACTTGTAAATACTAACTTGGAATTGCAGTCACAACTGATTTGGACTCTATTTACATGTAGGAACATTGTGTTTTTAACACATTAGATTAAAATTTACCTTTTTTTGCATCTTGAATAGATCTAACAAGGAGTGAAACCTTGGTGTCTCCGATTAGAATGTGTCCCCTGACCTCACGGACGCTGTCACCTCAGTCAAGCTGAGCTGACCCAGGCAGTGCCGGTCGCAGGCCTGGGTCAGGCACCGAGTCCAGGCCCAGCCCTGAGTCAGCCCTGTGCAGGGCTGCAGCCCACGAGGGAGCTGTGCGGCGCTGGGCAACCGGCGCCCTGGCGCAAGGTGCTTTCTGGGTGAGCCAGCGGCTGGCTCTCAGGGGTGCCCCAGGTTAGACACCTGGAGCTGACGGTGGGCTGCAGGCCTGCTCCTACCTTACCCTCTGGAGCGGTGCTTTGTTCCATTCTTAACACAAAACTGAATTAACTGAAAACAGAAAACACACTCGCCACACTGGCCTCGCAGAGCAGCCGCGCCGGCTGGGCCCAGGCTCATGCCACGGCCACCCCCAGCGCCACAGACACAGGAACACCGTGGTTGCAAACTCCAAAACTTCCCTGAGAACCACTGGAGACCTCGAGCTGTTCTTCAGATTATTTTCAGAAAACAAAAATAAATCCCTTTGTAATACTTCACACTCTGCCCTCGCTCAGGGAGGCTGCGGCCTCGGCCTGACCAGCATCAGAGGGAGCCCGCCCTCCAGGCACCCCTCTGATCAACCGTGAGGCGGGCTCCACCCAGAAGTCACTGTGACTTGGGAACCTCCGGGAGGGCAGTGTGGGGGAGGTAACATGGAGCCCAGCTGGGGGCCTAGACCTGGATGCCCCTCACGGCCTGCTTGATGCTCTCCAGGAGGGCCCTGTGCTCGGGGTTCTGGTAGCTCTCCCGGCTGGAGCACATGTCGGTGAGGGTGCTCACGTAGGCGTCGAAATTCTGTTCACATATTGGCTCCTGGAGGACAGAACCAGTCTAGCAAGCCCTGCCCGCGGCGGCCCCAGGGTTTCAAAGACTGTGGAGCCGCAGGGGACGAGGCCCCACCCTCCCAGCACTGACTGCCCCTCCACTCCGTCACCCGGGAGGGCTGGCTGTGGATCTCCAGTGACTCAGGAGGCCAGGAACCATGTGGCAGCAGCCCACCCGTGCGCCCTCAGGCCCGCCTGCTGCTCACCATGTGTGGAAGGCGGATGTTGGCAAGACTTTGGATGAGGGCCTGGCTCAGGCCCGACAGCTCCAGAAACAGGGCTTCGTTCTGCTCCTCGATGAGCTTGTTCTCCTGCTCGATGGTCCGCAGGCTCTTCTCCATGGAGGAGATCTGCAGTGACAGATGGAGCCGTGCCTCGCGTCCTCCTGGGACCATCTCCTGCCTCAGGGGGAGGGTCCCTGCCATAGGGAGGGGCTGGCAGCGCCCTGGTCCCTGGTTGCAGGGCACACGGTGACTAGCCAGGGGCAATGTGGGCCATGGCTTGGTGTGTGTCTTCCTTGGGGTGAAAGAAAGGAGCCCAGGCAAGCGCGAACCTGGGCAGCTTCACAGTTCTCCTTTGTGATGGGAGTTCTGCACCGAGCGGGGTGTCTGCTGCCTTTGGGTTTCCACCCCACAAAGACCAGCAATGTGTCTAAAGCAGCTGAGGAGACGGGAGGTTGGGGAGGGCGGGCAGCCACTGTCCCCAGCAGCCCATCGCCCAGGGGAGCGGCCGGTGGCTCCTCCAGGCACCCTGACAGGGCCCTGGGGTTTCCAGCAGGACACCAGAGGGGACTCCCAGGGGGGCTCCGGGCTCTACAGTGGAATGCCAGAAGACAGCGATGCCTGGGCTGGTGGTCATGGGCAGTGCTGTGTGCTCTGGGTGGCTCAGGCCACCCGCACAGCCGTGCAGAGGCGCATGGCCAGCACAGGAAGGTGGGCCTGCCTGACTGCATTTTGCAGGAGCCTGGGCTCAGAAAGTTCAGTGTCAGTGACGCACCTCGGGGGCGGGGGGTGGGGGGGGGGGTGTTTTCCTCCAGCCAGGTGGCTCTGTGGCCAATGGCTGGGAGCATCCTGCGTCTGGGCATCTGCCTCTGGGCCTCAGCCTCCGCCCAGCAACTCCCTGGAGGGGAAGGGAGTCCTCCCTAAAGGACTGCTGAATACGCTTCTAAAGGTGGGCGTGGCACCCGGGCCGTTTGGCTCAGTGGATAGAGCGTCAGTCCTCGGACTGAAGGGTCCCAGGTTTGATCCAGTCAAGGGCACGCAACTCAGTTGCAGGCTAGATCCCTGGCCTGGTCGGGACGTGTGGGAAGCAACCAATCAATGTGTCTCTCTCACATCAATGTTTCTCTCCTCCCCCACCACCCCCTAAAAAGAGAGAAAGGAGCCTGGGCAAGCTCAATGGGAAAATATCCTCAGGTGAGGATTAACAACAACAAAAAAAGATGGGCGTTGGCAAATGAAGAGAAATTAGAGGCCCTACCTGCTGGTTACTGACGCCAGAGGGCCCATGGTCTTTGAGAAGGCAAGGGCCAGGGAGGGACAGACACATCACAAAGATGTGTCTTGGAGCCCAGAGACGGCCTGATGCCCTCTCTGCTTCCACTGCCCAGGAACCTGGGGAAGATGCCGCTGGCAGAGTGACGACCCTCCCTGCCCTCGGGGCTGCCACTGTGTTTACATGGCCTCTGAGTGACAAGCAGTCAGCAAAGCCCTTTGCCGGGAGGAAGGAGCAGTTAACGTGTCACATGGCAGCCTCAGGACAGGAGCCCTATCTTCTGTGCCGTCCTCACTGCCCTCAAGTCCTGCAGGGCCTGGTCCCCTCCTTGTCCCTTTGTCACATCAGCCACAGGGACATTACTCTGTGTGGCCCCACCTCTGTATGCCCAGCTCTGCTCCAGCCCCACTCAGCACCCAAGGGCAGGCCGTGGTCTCCTTTTCAAGATGAGATCTTTACTGCTTTTTCCTGGTCGCAAGCATTCATTTGGGGGAAGTCCGAGGGATGTGGCACACACACGCAGAGTCCTCGGCAATGCCACCGCTCGGTGGCAGCGCTGCTGGGTCACACACACACTCGCTGCTTTCTCAGAAACAGGCTCCTCTGGCGACCCGTGGAGCTGCTGCACTGTAGCAGCCCCATGAGGACAGGAAGGTGCGCCCAGCCTGTGTGGCCACGCGGCATGGGACCAGCTCTGTCCCGCTCTTCAAACCCACACTGTGGTGTGCTCCTCCCGACACTGACTCTGCCGGGGCCACCAACCGCCAGCGCCAGAGGACCAGCACCGACAGCAGAGTGGGCCAGAGGCGGCCATGAGCACCGTGCTCATCTGCCCAGCCCAGCAGTGACCTTGATGTGGGGCTCGGCTCTTCCCCACTCAGAGAGGAAGCCAAGGACCAAGGACAAAAGGACTTTGTTGAATTGGGAGCCAGCGGGCAGGTGGGCGGAGCCACCCACCTGAGACTGCAGCTGCACCATGGCGGCCTCCATCTCTGAGTTGGACTCGTTCAGGTCTCGAATCTCCTGGTTCAGCTGCTTGATCTCCTCATCGTTCTCCAGCACTGCCCCAGAGAGAAAGCCTGGTCGTGGCTCTCAGCCTCACACCCAGGCCAGCGAGGTGGGGTGTGGCAGAGGTCTGCTCTCTGGATGGAACTGGGGCCCCTTTCCGAGCAGGGGCACCTGGCCTGCTTTCTGAGGGAAGGCTGGTCGGCAGCCACTGGCTGTGTCTGTGGTTTGCCTCCTGGCCCTGGGTCACAGGCATTAATTGCCAAGAACAACATGGAAGTGTTTTCAGATGATACTGAGTTTCCTCAGCTTCCTTCTCCACTGGGACTGAGTTCTCTGCTCCTCAAGCCTGCAGGGCACAGCCTCCAGGTCGGCCAGCAGGCTTCTCTGATGCCAGGACTCACCGTTGCCCAGGTCAGAGCTGCAATGCTGGGGGCCCAGACACGGGCCACCCTAGGTAAAAGCCAAGGTCGGGAGACCCATTGGCTCAGGTCAAGGGATCTGTCTCCACCATGATGGGTTCTGCACCCCTAACCCCTCCCTACGGTAAGGCTCGCTCACCCCGGTGCCAGGTCCACGCAGATGCTGCCGAGCGAGGGGCGTCCTTACCATCACTCGTCTTAAACTTCGTGCCGAGAACATCATCCCCTGAGAGTTTTCCCTTCTTTCCAGCAAAGGTTGCTCTGGGACAGCCGGACAAGCTGGAAGCAAAAGTCACACATCAAAAACCAGCCCAAGGTCACACATCCCAGTGAGAGCCAAGTCCTCGCTGCTGGTGGCCTGGGAGGGTCCTGGATGGAACTTTCTAGCTCATGACCTTTTGCCCCCTCACCCAGGGACAGTCCCCCAGCTCCCTCCCTCCTCGTCTAGGACCCTGGTCACTGCCTTGAAGACTGTGTCCCCGATGTCCTGGGAAGCTGCTCCCTCCCTCTGCACCCTCCCAGCTACGCCTCCCCAGCGGGGACCACCTCTGACCACACCGGGCGTTTCACGTGTTTGTTTGCAGCCCATCTTCCCACCCGCCCTGCCCACGTCGCCTCCAGGAGGGCCAGCTGTCAATCTCATCTCCGCTGTCTCTCCAGAGCCTGGTGCTCCGTGGACTCCGGGAGAGGCTTGTGGAGTGAGTGAGTTCATTGATCTCGTGGTGGATAGACAAGGGCAAATACAAGAAGGAGACAGGACCCAGTGGTGGCTCTGTGCGCCTCAGCCATTGCCTGGCACAGAGGAAGCAGTCTGGGGGTGGGGGTGGGGCTGGGGGGGGAGGAGCCCCGGGACCACCCACAGGGCGAGGAGGGGTCTTGTCACCAGGCCTCTTTGACAGGCAGGCAAGGCCAGCCCCAAACTTCAAAGAGGCCCCAGCGCGAAGGCAGGCACAGAGCGTGGCAGCCAACGCTGCTCCTCAGACGCTGGCAGCCAGGACTTGGGAGGGACCCAGACACGTGGAGGGAGGCAGTGACAGCCGCCTCAGGTGACAGGCCACAGGCACATCACCTGGGCCACAGGCTTCCTCTCGCCTCCCCAGGAGCTGCCAAGCCTGACCTTGGTCTTCCTCCTGAGAAAGTGCCTGTCACCCCTGAACCCTGCCGGGCCCCCAGGAGGCTCCCACAGTGCACAGAGGGAACAGTTACCTCCGGTGGGTGAGGAAGCCCCCGTTGGCGTGGCCAGAGCCGTCGCAGCCCGGAGTGGGGCAGGTGGGCCCCTCGTTCCTCGGCGACTTCCAGAACGAGGGGCCATTGAGGGAGCCCTCCTTCTGCCTGCGGGCGGCCAGCGGGCAGCCCGATGCGCTTCGGTGGGAGGCGTACTTGCCGCTGACGTGGCCAAGCCCCACACAGCCTGGAACTGGACACCTGGCACCAACATTTCAGAGGTGAGCAAGGGGTGCCAGAGGCAGAGCCCAGAGACCCTCCCACACGGGCCCTGCCATGGCCGCAGCCCCAGGGAGTGAGTGAGGTGACAGCAGCAGGGATCACGTCCCCTCTCCAGCCTTGGTCTCTGCCCCCTGTGTGGCCAGAGGGTCCCCAGCAGACTTTAGCATGATGCCCTGGCCCCGAGGTGGCTCGCAGGGGTCTCTGGGTCCACCCTACTAGTAGACCTGCTGCCAATGCCCCCTTGCACCATGCCAGTGGTGAAGTGCCCGCTGGGACCACCCAGAGACCACTGGCTGGGAGCCTGCACCAAGCACAGGCCTGGGTGGCCTAGGAGTCACAGAGGTCAGAAGGGTACCCTGAGCCCGGGCAGCTTGGGGACACCAGGGGCCCTGCCACCCCCCAGCACCCATAATGAGGCTGGTCATGGCCTGATGCCTGTGGGTGTCCCAGCTTTGCCACATCTGAAATGTGTGTCTGGAAGGATGGATGGAGGCCACAGCTCACATGGGAAACAGGCTCAGACACCCCAGAGTGACCCAGCCTGAGGCTGGCCTTCCCTTTATTCAGGTTGTTCAAGGAGAGAAAGGGGTCCCTACAGAAATCACAACGCCCCAGAGACAGGTGAGATGGCGTGAGGGGGGCTCAGAGTGACTGCCCCGCACCCTGCTGTCAGGACCAGGCGGTCACACACAGCAGGTCGAGGCCGAGAGCTCTGGGTGGCCTCATGGAGAGGGACCTGGCCCGGCAGGTCACAGCTGTTCCTTCTGAGCACCGACGGGTCCGGGCTTTTGGGCCAACAGGAGACGGAGGACAAGCTCCTCTATCTGCAAGTTCCTCGTCTTCTCCCTCCAGCAAGTGAGATTCCTTTAACGTGATGCTGGTCACCACTGCCTTTGTGCTGCAGACCCGCCCGAGCACAGGGCCCAGGAGGGGACACACCACCCAGGTTACAGAGAGGTTCCTGGGCTCAGAGAAGCCAGGGCAGGAAGCCCGTGGCAGGGCTGGGCCGTCCCAGGGCTCCTGCAGCACCTGGGGGGGGGGGTGTGCACTGCCCAGTGACAAGGCCATCTGGGCTCCTAGCCCCAACAACCCGGCCTCAGTCAGAGCAGCCACCGCAGACACTTTCCGGCCTTATTTGTCCCCTTCTGCCAGCTCCCATTTCCTTAGTCATCCCACCCACATGGACCTCGGGCCTGTGGGGTGTCCACTGACCCCATCCAAGGTCACCTCAGCCCATAGTTCAGAGCAGACACACTGCCGGGGCTCACAGGGGTTGAGGAGGTTCCGTTTTACACCCATCCCCCAAACCTGGACACCTCCCAGCTGAGGGCATCTGGCAGGAGGCCTGGGCCAGGTGCCCATGAAGCCCCGACATGACAAGATCAAAAGGCCGAGTGAGCGGTGGGCCTGGATCCCCTTCGCTCTCTGTGCAGCCTGCCTGCAGGGACGGTGCTGTCCCTGGAGCCGAGTGCACAGTGAGCGCTTTCTTCCCATCCGTCCAGCGCCCAGATCTTCAGAGCTGTCAGGTGACATTGTGAACACGTATGTGGAGTGCCGACTCGCTTGGCTTCTGCACTCCCCGGGCAGCCTGTGCTGGGAGCAGGAGTGATGAGCCACCGGGATCCCAGATGCCACTGTAGCGAGGACCGAGGGCATCCAGCTCCCGACCCCAGGAGCCTCCACAGACTTGGATGGCCAGTTACTCAGCTGTGGCCACAGGGATTCACCACAAAGTGCTGACGGGACTTAATCTCAAGCAGAGCAGACACAGGGGCCATAACGGGAGCCCTCTCCTCACCAGCCTGTCCAGAGGCTCAGCGAGGCATGTCACAAAACCCCGTCCCGCAGCCGGGCGGCCTGCAAGCCCCTTGCCTGGGAGCCCCTAGGAACTCGCCCCTCCTGTAGAGGCTGAGCTGTTTCTGAAAGTCACCTTCTCAGTTGGCTGCAGAAATCTTGTTTGTTTGTTTTGTTTTTTTTAAACAAAGTTCACAGCACATTGGGAAGAGGAGCCCGGTTCCCAGGGAGCCTGCACGTCCTGGTGCTGGTTTGAATTGTCTGCAAGGACAGCACAGTGCGCTCACTGCCGCCCCTCCTCCCACAGCCGTGTCGAGGCCCCAGTCCAGGGTGAACCTCCAAGGATCTCACCCGGCTCCCGCAAAGGTGTGTGAGCACGCAGGTCTGTGAGTCCCACACTCACGACCGACTGCAAGATCTGCCATCTTTCTTACCACAGCCTCCTCCTCAACCCCTGCATCTGCCCTTTCCCACAAACAGACCGAGACCAGTGCCCACGAGTGCCCCAGGGGCTGCTCCACACCTCAGCCCTGTGCCCAGTTGGCCTCTGGTACCTGGGTAGCAGGGCCCTGTGCCTCTCAGCCCATGGCTGGGGCCTGCGTGCCCCGATACAATGCACAGGGCTCACACCTTCATAGGCGTCCACATACCTGGGGCGAGAACATCTGTACGAGCAGGTGCTGTCACTGACAGGCCATGTTAATGGAAAGGGATCGAGACGCTACAGGAAAGCCCCAGTTCTGCCAGGCAAGGCCCTGACTTACTTCATCAGCTCGGGGTCTTCTTTGTCGTCCTTGGTCGGCGTCACCTTGGTGCCACTCTTCTTGGCACGAGGGCAGCCTGACAAGCTGGTTTCAAAAGAGGAAAAATACAACCGTGGTCCCAGAGCAGCAGCACCTCACCCCGGGGTCTGCAGCCCTGGAAGACCCCCGACAGGGTGCGCCCCCAAGAGCCCAGCTCTGGTGCAGAGGCAGCTCAGCCTGGCTGCCAGCAACACTGACGTCTTACTTGGACCTTTACACCTTCACCTGAGAAAGAGGCCCCGCCCCCCGGCACCCCTGGGCGCGCAGGCTCACCTGCGGTGCGAAGCGTAGTTCCCCGTGATGTGGCCAGAGCCATCACAGCCGGGCGTGGGGCACCTGCAAAGCAAAGGGCCAAGGGAGCTGGGACAGAGCCGGTGAAGACGCCGCCCCAGGGGGCCTCGCAGTAGGCGGTGCCCACCCTGGCCAGCCTTCCACCTGGCCTCCGGCCTTCACTCCTTTGCCAGTGAGACCCCCACGGAGTCCCAGAAAGGCCAAGAGGAGAGCACACCCCCACAGCAGGGATGCTGAGCTCCGAGCCTGGCCTGGTGCAGGGTTTGGGGCTGCAATACAAGGTTCCAGAACACACACCGGCCTTCACTCTACACGGACGGTCAGGGAGGCAAGCCTAGCACCTAGCACCTGGTCTCCGTGGTGTCACTGGGAAGGAGAGGGCTTCCCTGAAGGAGGCTGTGCCGTGTGAGCGCCACCCACACCGTCCCCAGGACCCAGCGTGCTCACCCAGCACGGGGCGGGCTGGCCCCAGGGAAAAGGGGAGCGCGACACACACAGCCCAGCTCCGCCCACACAAAACACTGGGCGGCCGGAGCACAGAGGCCGGAGAAATTCCACTTTAGTGCACGAGCGTGGGCTTCCTTAAATGATGTTCCCCAAATGAGGTCTGAGCAACGCGAGTATTCCTGCTGCTGTCGCTGCCGCAGCTGCTGGCCTGACTCTGCAGGTGTCCCCGTGAGGGTGCACCCTGGCCGGGGGCCATGGGGACCGGCAGGCCTGTGGTGCGGCATGGGGGAGCCGTTACTCACACCTTCACCCTCCCACACAGAGCCATGGCGCCCACGTGGCCCAAGGGGCCTGGGGACGAGCACGCCGGAGCAGGACACAGGTCTTCGCCTGCCCGACCCCTTCCTCAGTGTCCCCCACCGGCACACACAGTGTCTGGCACTGGGGGCAGGACAGGAAGCTGGTGCAGCCAGCAGATGCCCCACAGCTACAGAGGCACCTCCCAGAACCCAGCAGGCAGCACTGCCTGTCCCCATAGGAATCCTTGAGGTGGGCACACGGCATGGGGCTCAGTGCCCAGCCTCCTCTGGCCTCTCCTGCCCTCGGGACTTTCTGGGGCCCCTCCTCATCACTGCCACATCGGGCCACACAGCAAATGCCTCCTTGGCATGGCAGTTGACCAACCAGTCAAATCACCCCCTGACCAGGCTGTGGGGTAACTCACACCCCATTGAGGTTACGATGGTCTGTGTCCCAGTCATATGTGGTCACATTTCAACCCACCGTGTCTGGGACAAGGAGGCTTTTGCATCTTCATAGGAGCCACCCTCAGCCATCCAGGCAGCCACCACCCTCCCCGAGCCTGCAGCACAGCACTCCTCGCTGCCCCCATGTCTCTGCACTGCCTGAGGCCCAGGCGCCAGCCGCTCGGGTCCTTTGGGCCCATGGGGGAGCCCCTCACATGACTCTTAGTGCTGAGGCCACAGCCCTGTGACATCCTGCTGCCTCTTCCTCAAATGAGGGGCCTGCAAGTGCTCCCCAGAGGCAAGTGCAGAGTGGAGGGAGGAGGCACTGCTCAGGCCTCTGCTTCTCCTCAGCCTCCACACCAAGTGAGACTCACAGGCTCGGGGGAGGTCGGTGTCCCAGGCCTTGATGAGCTCTGGATGGTGGGGAAGGGCCCTGCAAGGTACAACCCCATTGGGGCCTGAGTCTAGGGCGGGAACACACACACGGGGTGGTGCCTGCCAGGCCCAGCAGAGGTGGGACCAGCAACCCCAGGGGTCCCACTGAGGCACACCTGCCCCAGGCAGGTGAGACTGTCCTACACTCCTTGCTGCGACCCAATTCAATAGCTTTTCCCAGAGTCGAGTCCAAGAGAGGGTGCTGTCCATGTGGCTGGAGCAGCCTGCAGCACCAGCCCCTCTCGGGGCCCTGAGGACCCACAGGGCCAGCTGCAGGGACCGTCCACCACTGGCTTGTGAGTGGGCTGTCTGAGCAGGAGGAAGTGCCTGTGTCTGAGGGGCGTGGCGGTGCACAGGGTCTCCCCTCTGAGTCCCATCCCTGTCCCTACCCTGTGCAGAGTCCCCATCACACCTTTGCACCCCAACTCCCCACACAGAGGGTGCTGAGCAGCCAAGTCCCACACGAGGGCACATGAACGGGAAGAGCAAATGGATTTAATTAAAATACAGAAAACATCGTACGAGACTCACTGCACCCAGGTGTCGCTAGGGAGGCCACCGAAAGGTCTCCTTTGCAAGGGGTTGGCATAGGTGTCTGTCCCCATCCCTGCCACAGGGCTGGTCGGGAGCAGCCACGCCGGCCACCCACTGACCGGGGGAGGGAGAAGGAGACAGGGAGCCTCCGGCACCGGGAAAGTGCTGGGGCCTGGCCCACCCCTCAGCCAGACAAGCAGGGCTCCCTGGGAGGCCCTGGGAAGAGGCTTGCCCAGCCCTCCCGAGGCTGAGGGGGAGCTCATTTCACACAAGGAAGACTTTCTGGTGCTACTTCTAAGTATGTTCTGGGTTAAAGTTATCTTTTCAATCCTCACTGGAGGGTATTTTTTCCATTGATTTCTGGAGAGTGGAAGGGAGGGAGGATGGGGAGAGGGAGACAGAGACACATCAATTGGTTGCCTCCCGCCTCTACCAGGGCTGGGGAACTTGCAACCGAAACACTTGCCCTTGACCAGGAATATAACCTGGGACCCTTCAGTCTGCAGGCCGATGCTCTAACCACTGAGCAACCAGCCAGGGCCGGGTTAAAGCTCTTCACAGGCTGTTAGTCTGAGAAGGAGCAACACTCTCAGAGCCACATTTCTGGTGTTTTCCCTCCCGCAGCCCTGAGCACACGTGGCCATGGCTCAATCACTCAGGCCCTCAGACTGGAAATCCATGAAAACCAGTCACAGGTAAGAAAGGCCGTCGAATGGGAAAAGGAAACAGGAGAAAGGCGCGTGGGAGCAGCGGAGAGAAGAGAGGCTGAGTGGTCCGCTGGGCTTCCGGGGCTGGACCCCAGGCATGAGTCGGGATGAGCTAAGCTGTGTCCCAGCTGTCACTCCCAGGAAGACCCCTGGCGGCAAACCGGCCCAGTGCCATCTGGGGACAGAGCCCCTTGCAACAAGGCACAAGGAGGCGCTCCCCGTTGCGAGAGCAGCGCACTCGGGGACCTGGGGCTTTCTGCCCGTTTCTAAACCAGCTCAGGGCCTGGAAGCCTTGGCACAGCAGCTCCTCAGCTCAGTGCCAGGCTCTGCTCCGTCTGGCCCCAAGCGGAGTGGCCAGGGAAACTTGTCTGGACCCAGGGCCTCCCAACACAGAGGCCTGGAGGGAGGAGCAGCCGCAGAGGGTGACCCGAGGGGCCAGAGGGACACCTCATTCCCCGTCTTGGCTCAGCCAGGACCAGCCTGTCACAGCTCAACAGAAGGCATGAACACAAAGGCAAGGACAGTCCGGCTGCACCCCAAGAGGACACTGAGACCGGGAACCTCTGGGAGCATCAAGCAGGCCGTCGGGCAGTGCATTAGGGGCAGGGAGGAGCCGAAGCAGAAAGAGGAGGGGCTCGGCAAACAGAGGGAGGAGCGAGGAGGAGAGGCACATCTGGGGCACCAGGGCCAAGGCCCGCAGCTGGAGGGCTGCAGAGAAGAGGGGCAAGGCGCTTTCTCTTTCACCAGCAACAGCACTTCCTTTAGCACGAGCAGCACAGCCTGCAGCGCTGAGTCACGGCCAGCCTGGCGGCAGTGAGGCCAGTTCTGGGCTGGTCCACCCCAAGTGCAGGGGAGCAGGCCCTCGTCAGGGCCCTCAGCACAGGGAGAGAACGGGCCAGGCCACCAGGGGCCCTCAGAGAGGCCGGCAGGGCCAAGAGCAGCACAGGAGCCTACAGCAGCCCAGCTGGTGGGGACAGACAGACAGCAGCCTCAGAGCAGGAGACACAAGCACAGCGACCCCAGCCACGGGAATCGGCTCCTCCACAGCCTTGCCTCTCTGCCCCTTCCTGCAGGCGGGCCAGCCCGGGACTGCAGCCTACGATTTGGGCTGGAGCCTCATGGAAGGGGACAGCAAAGCTAGGGAGCCACCCAAGAGATGGGCGGCCAGGAAGGCAGACATACTTGAGGTCAGCAGAATGGGCAGCCATGAGGTTTCTGAGGCTCTTGTCAGCAAGAGGGCAACCAGAGAGGCTGAAAGAGAAGAGAGGGGGGTAAGCCAAAGAGGGGAGCAGAGCAGGAGAGGAGGAAGACCCACCACGCAGCACCCCGGCCAGGCAGGCCCGAGCGGGGGACGAACCTGCGGTGGGAGGCATAGTTCCCAGTGATGTGGCCACTGCCGTCACAGCCCGGGGTGGGACAGCTGGACAAAGAAAAAGAGCGTCAGAAGAGAGTGGGGCCCGCCTGCGAGGCCTGCGCAGGGACGGCGGTGGCACCTCCTCCTGGGTCACCCCAGGGGCAACACCTCCTCCTCAGCCTTCAGAGCACAGCCTCAGCCTCGGACGGCAGCTCCCACAGAACTTAACTCAGAAGGGAAAAGGGAACCGAATCAAAGCTCTGCTTGAAGTTAGGGTGTCTCGAGCACATGTGTGGGTGCCCATGAACACACAGGGAGATCCTTTCCGAAGAGCATGGCCTTCTCTGAGGACAAGGCCCCAGCCAGAGCCCGGAGCTGGCCGTCCTGGGGAGCAGCTACGGAGCAGGAGGTTCAGGACAAGAAGAGGAGCCCCAGGTGCGGGCTGGACGCCTGGTGCAGGTGCAGGGCCTCGCCCCTCCTCTGAGAGAGCTGGCTCTCACGGGCCGACCGGAAGGTGTGGGTTGTGCTTGTCTATGAATAGCTCCCAGCAGCTTCCCTGCTCTCCGGTGACACCTGGTTCCCTGAGGACCAGCTCAAAGGGCCAGTCGGCTTCCGGAGCTGAGGGCAGCGGTCAGGCCTGGCCGTGGCCGGGCAGATGGCTGTGCTCAGGAGGCCGCTTCCCTCAGCCCTCGGCCTGCTGCGTGTGTAGAACAGGGGCTCTTTCTCATTCTCAATTGTGTTCTAGGACCACGTGAGAGCCCAGCGCAGTGCGGCGATGACGGGCACTGTCCCCGGTGCCTGGTCGAGCCCCCTCTGGACAGAGGGCAGCGGAAGGCCCCGGACAGAGCCGCCCAACCCCCCATCCCGGCCCGGCCCGGCCCGGCCCAGGTGTACTCCTGTCCACACTGGTGAGACTTACGTGAGCAGCTCCTTCTTTATGTCCTTGGAGAGAAACTTCAGCTTAAAGTTGGTCAGGGTGACATCCCCGGGGTACTTCCGCTCCTCAAGATTCTCTTCGGACACTTCCTGGTCATCTGCTTCAGAAGAAGCAAAAGAATGGGCTGCTGGCTCTGACTGCAAAAAACCAGCAGGGAGAGGTTTTAACCGCTGGCGGGCCGGGCGCCCGCCCAGGGCTGAGGGAGAGGACCCTTCAGAGCAGTGGCCACAGAGGCGCGTCCTGGAGTCTCCTGTCCTCTAGATAAGGGAGAAGAGTGCCCCCAACAGACACAGAAGACAGCACCCCAGGGGGCTGGCGTCCCTCGACCTCAGCCAGAGCTGCCCGGGAACAGGAGACCCTGACACCCTCCGCGTCCCTGCATGGGGTGGCCTGGTCCAGCGGCCGCTGAGCCGCCTCCTGAACACGGTCCTCGCCACCGAGAGCAGCCCTTCGGGGGTGCGCCTGGCACATGGGGAGCCAAATCGTCTTGGTGGAAAGGCTGTGACGATGAGGTGGCACAGGAGTAACCACACGCAGAGCATAACAGAATGATCACCGTGACCCACGGCCAGCTGGATCTCGGCTCCCCCCTCTCCTGCCCCCCCCACTCCTACCCCCCACGACGTTGCACCACCGCCGGCACTTCCTAAGGCCGGCCCACGCAGGTGTCACGGAGCCTCACGGCGCACCCCCAGCACTGGCTCTCGCTCTGTGTCCCTGCAAGTGTTCAGCCTCTTGGGGCTGAGGTGCCCCTTTGGAAATGGAGCTCAGGGGAGCCCCTCACAGGCCTTCTGGGGTCAAAGGAGGACATGCCCAGAGCACCAGCCCCGAGAAGGACTGCTCGAGGTCTTGTCACCGTTGTTGACTCATTCGCTTGATTGAGTTGCAAGCTATTGGCCAATGTCACCCCAATAAATTTAATTTTTTTAAAAACTGCTCTTCAGCATGGACAGGGCTCCCAGAAGTACTGAGCAGGGAGCATCCGGAGGCCATGGGTGCGGGACAGTGCGGCTGCGCTGGAAGGAGTGTCTGAGCTGGGAGCCAGGATCGTGGTGCAGGGACGGAGAATGCCTGGCTCAAGAGGTGTTGCCAGGGGTGGCCCCATGGACAGGGCTCCCACGACCGGGAGAGACAGCTGGGGAGAGGAAGGGGCAGGGCTGAGCTGAGGCTTCTGCCTGGAGGGGCTGCCGGCTGCAAGGCAGAGCATGGGAACAGGCTTCAGTGGTGGGAACCTCGGGGCGGGGCCTCTGGGCCACCCCATAGATCAGTGATTCTCAACCTCCCTAGTGCCGCGACCCTTTAATACGTCCTCGTATGTGGGCGTATCTGCATGTGGGCGGAGCCGCCTGGAGACGGATAGAGGAGCGGTGTCTCGGTTCCTAAGACCGTCGGGAAACACATATTTCCGATGGTCTTAGGCGACCCCTGTGAAAGGGTCGTTCGAGCCCCAAAGGGGTTGCGACCCACAGGTTGAGAACCGCTGCCATAGATGACGGTCAGTCCTGGGAGGAGACAAGGATGCTCGGAGAGAAGGGGGCCGCTCAGGGATGGGGATCAGCCTGAGGAGGGGTGAGGAATGGGCCAGTGAGGGAGACAAAGGGGGCCACTGGAGACAAGTCGCTGGGAGAGGGGGTGCAGATAAATCCTGGGGGCAAGACAGGAACAAGGATAACACAGACGCAGAGGCCCCCACCTGCACTGCAGCCCCCACACAGGAGGGTCCTGACTACAGACGGGACTCTGCCAAACAGGGAGAAAGCGGGAGCACAGCTCGCAGTGGGCGGGTCTTGGCCAGCCTCCCTCCACTGGGGCTCAGTCTCAGAGGCACCCCTCCTCGGCGCCAAACACCAAGTTACAGCCATGTGACCTCAGTCTGGGGCCTCATATGACACATGTAGAGGGAGCCTGGCTCACCAGCAAGACAGAATCACGGAGGTGACAGGTGCTCAGATGGGAGGTCTCCCTGCCACCTCCTCCTCCACAGGGACCTGCCCTGCCCTCCAGGGAGGAGGGGGGCTAGCGGAGAGAAGGGGGTGAGGGGACCTGCCCACACTGCAGAGCTGCCAGGGCGGTGCCGCCCGCAGAGCTGGGCTTTGCTGTTCAAGACGCACAGCTCTTCGGGAAAAGCCCTCAATCAGTCAGCATCTCAGCTGGGTGGAGCGACTGGGCAGGGACTGCCTGCGGCGCCCAGACCACAGCACAGCACAGGCGCCCAGCTTTTTGCTCTTTACCAGGCGGTGCTTGTCTTGGGACCAGGCCACTGCCCAGCACGGAGGCTCTGAGGCCAGGAGTTCTCTCCTGCCTCTGTCCACGGAGCCAGGTGGCCTGGAGGGCCCAGGGCTGCTGCTGGGGTTCAGGTGTGCCTATTTGGGAAGCAGGTTGGCGGGAAGCCCCCAAAACTAAGGAGCTCAGAGCCATTCCCAAGTCATCCCTTGTGGGGACTGAAAGAAGCCCCCTCTTCCCCGGACTCTCCGAGGCCCCACCATGTCTTAGAGGCAAGGAGACTGCGCTCTCAGAGGGACACAGACACTGCACGCCACTGGCAGAAACCCCCCAGAGGCGGCTGAGTCCTCGCTGCCTGAGGGTGCAGAACCGAGTGCAAAGGGACAGGACCCCTCAGGCCACGCACCCACCTCCTCGGGCTCCTCCTCTCGCTGGCGGCTGGGCTTGGTGTAGTCCAGAGGCCGGTCCCATTCATCCTGGTGGGAGGCCTGGCTGGACTGGGGCGTCATGGAGCTTCCGGGGGCACTGGTGCTGCTCTGGCGCTGAGAGGCCTCGGGAGCCTTCACCCCGGGCTCGGGGCCGCCACTGCCGGGGAACGTGCCTCCCGCCTGCGGTGCCTGCGCATACTCAGGTCCAGGGTCCCATGCTCATCCACCTCGATGGCCACTGCCTACAACGCAAAGGGGCATCTGCGTCCTGACCCCACGCCCTCCGCGTGGGCCTCGAGGTCCCGAATGCGGCGCTGCAGAGCGCCAGACCTGCTTCCCTCAGAAGGAAATAGCCAGACAGGAAGAAGCGTCTCTGAGGCCCAGATGGAGGACTTGGGACCTCCCTCCTTCGGTCTCCATGGACCACAAACCAGGCCCTGAGGGCATGAGCATGGTCAGATGAGAACATGTGCAGGACCCTCAGTCTCAGGGAGACACAAGGGAACATGTGTGTGCATGATAGTCTCAGGGAGACACGAGGGAACGTGTGTGTGTGTGTGTGTGTGTGTGTGTGTGTCCCTCAGTCTCAGGAGACACAGGGAACATGTGTGTGCATGACCCTCAGACTCAAGGAGACATGTTGGAACACACATGTGCACAGCCACGTAGTCGCTCTTCAGGCTCGGCACACAGAGCTCTCAGAAGGCACCCATCCAAGCTCTCTGCTCATCAGGAGCCACAGCGGAGGGAGAGGGAGAAAACAGCACCCTCCCCAGATGGACGGGTGGTCCTGAGAACGCCTCCCTCAGGCCTGTGG